TGGTCTCTGGGGGGTGGGGGGCGGGGGGGGGAGCATATTAAAGTATGGTGCCGCTAGTAAGGTCCTTGGCCCAGATGGGTAGACTCCTTTCTTTCAGAAATCCTGGGAGTTCCCTAAGTCAGACATTATGGCGGCCTTACATTATTTTCATCAACATGGTCAGATGGTAAGATATTGCAATGCCTTTTTCATTGCACGCATCCCAAAAAAGAAGGGTGCAATAGAGCTAAGGGACTACAGACCTACCCACCTAATAAGGTGTTTGCGATATAGCAGCTAAGGTGTTAGCAGAAAAATTAAAGAGGGTTGTTAACAAACTAATTTCTGACCAACAAAGTGCATTCATAAAGGGCACACAGACCATAGATACCTCTGTAATAGTCAATGAGGTTCTGAGTTGGAAAATCAGAAGTGGAGAAACAAGCATCCTGTACAAACTTGATATTGAGAAAACATTTGATCAGTTGAACTGGTCCTTTCCAATTAACATGCTAAAGAAGATGGATTTTGGAGATAGATAGCTAAGGTGGTCCAGTTCTGCATCTCAACAGTCAATTATTAAATATTGATCAATAGAAGCTTTGTTGCTTCTTTTCACCAAAAAGGCCTCAGGCAGAGTGATCCCATCTCCCTTTCCTATCATACGGGCTATGGGAGGGCCTGACCCAGCAGATGGATAGGGCTAAAGAACTACATAGATACAAGGTTTTCAGGTTGGAAGGAACCCCACTAGTTCTACCACCGCCATACATCTGATTTATGCAGATGATACATTAATATTCTGTAATGCAGGGAGGTCTCAAGTCACTCACCTCCGCCTCACTTTACTGATTTTTTAAGCCTTGTCAGGACTACACATCACCATGCTAAAAAGCAAAATTAACCCAGTAAATGAGATTCAGAACCTTGAAGATATGGCAGTGATTTTATGTTTGCAAAACTTGTTCATTCCCTACTAGCTATCTTGGTTTTCCTTTGGGTGCAAAATTCAAATCCCCTAGAGTTTGGAATGGTATCACATAAACGGTTGAAACGAGTTGGCAACTTGGCAATTACTGTATCTTTCTATGGGTGGCGAGCTCACACTAATCAACAGTATCCTTGATAGCATTCCCACATACTTCATATCAGTGTACCCTATGCCTAGTTGACTAGTTCAGTGTTGAGCAACTAGAGAAATTAAGGAGGAATTTTTTATGGGAGGGTAATAGTCAGACTCACAAGTTCTCATTGGTAAAGTAGGTCAAAGTCACTCAGTCAAAATCACAAGGGGGCCTTGGAAGCAGAAATTTGAGACTATACAACAAGAGATGCTAGTGAATGGTTATGGAGATAGCACTATGGAGGACAGAAATTGATGACAATTTTATAACCCACAATCACTGGTGTTCTAAAACAGGCTCGTGAACTCATGGAGTTGGCATTTGGAAGCACATTAGTAGCCACCAAGCAAACTTCTTTGAGAATATCTCCTATAATGTCGGCAATGGATTTCAAGTTAAATTCTAGCAGGATAAACGGCTTGGCAACAAAATGCTTTTAAAGCCTCTGGACTATTCCTGATAGCAAACAACTAAGAGTCATCTGTCAAACAATACAGAGACAATAACTCTTGGACCCCTCTACTCAGAAGGAACCTTTTTGATTGGGAACTCCATGACCTCCTCACTTTGTTATCCACTCTGGAACACCACACAATTGAAATACAGCAACAAGACAAAATGGTATGGAGGGATTCCAAAGAAGGGCAGTTCAGAGTGAAGGACAGCTACAATCTCATGTGCTATCAAAATGATATGCTTGACAAGTGGCCTTGCCTGGGCCTTGGAAGTATGTCTGGCAAATCGAAACACCTTCAAAGGTCTCTTGCTTCATCTGGATTGCTTCAAATGAAATAGATGGACCCAGGACAATCTCAACAGAAGAAACATTGCCTTAGTCAACAGATGCTATCATGCTATAATCAAATGAAGATTAAGAGAAGAATAATAACAACCAAATGACACCATTTCGAAGTTAAATTTTTGGATATAGCTTA